TCCTTGAGCTCGAGGAGCCGCTGGTCCGCGGCCGCCGCGCGGTCGTCGGCCGACGCCGCGCGGTCCGACGCTTTGGCCGCGCGGTCGTCGGCGGACGCCGCGCGCTCCTCGGCGAAGGCCAGGAGCTTCTCGAGGTCCGCGGCCCGCCGCTCCGCCGCCGCCGTCGCGCGCTCGGCCTGCGCCGCGGCGCGCTCCGCGTCCGCGGCCTCCTTGTCGCTCCTGACGGAGCCCTCGGCCTTGGCGACGGACGCGCGCCGCGCCGCGGCGGCGCACTTGCGCTCCGCGGCCTCGGCGCGCAGCGTCATGGACTCGAGCTCCGCCGTGAGGCGCGCGGTCTCGTCGGACGGCGCGGCGGAGGCGTCCGCGGCCTCGCCGTGGGTCTTGCTCTTCCAGCGCTGGAACGCGGAGAGCTCCTCCGACGACACGGCGGAGGCCTCGGCGGCTTCCGCGCGCGCCTTCATCTCCGCGAGGGCGGCCTTCAACGCCTCGGCGTCGTCGTCGCCGTGGGTCTTGCTCTTCCAGCGCTGGAACGCGGAGAGCTCGTCCGAAGACACGGCGGAGGCCTCGGCGGCTTCCGCGCGCGCCTTCATCTCCGCGAGGGCGGCCTTCAACGCTTCGGCGTCGTCGCTGCCGTGGGTCTTGCTCTTCCAGCGCTGGAAGGCCGAGAGCTCGTCCGAAGAAACGGCCGACGCCTCCGCGGCTTCCGCGCGCGCCTTCATCTCCGCGAGGGCGGCCTTGAGCGCCTCGGCGTCGTCGTCGCCGTGGGTCTTGCTCTTCCAGCGCTGGAACGCGGAGAGTTCCTCCGACGACACGGCCGAGGCCTCGGCGGCTTCCGCGCGCGCCTTCATCTCGGCGAGCGCCGCCTTGAGCGCTTCGGCGTCGTCGCCGCCGTGCGTCGCGTCCTTCCACCGGCGGAACGCCGACATCTCCTCGTCCGTCGCGTCGGCCGCGGGCGCGGCGGCCGCGGCGGCCTCGGCCCGCTCGGCGCGCTCCTCGGCGGCGGCGGCGCGGCCCTCGGCGGCGGCGAGCTTTTTCGCGGCGGCGTCGCTCTCGGCCGCGAGCTCCTTTTTCAGCGCCGCGACCTCGGACGCGGCGGCGGCCTCGGCGTCGGCCTTGGCCGCGAGCGCGGCGCGCAGGTCCGCGGCCGTCGCCTCGGCCTTGGCGACGGCGGCCTGGAGGGACGCGACCTCGGACTTGTACGCCGCCAGCACGGGGTCGTCCTTCGGCGCCGGCGGCGACGCGGGCGGCGAGCCGGGCGCGGGCGGCGGCGGCGCGGGCGCGTCCTTCTTCTTGACGCGGCCCTTGCGGATGTCGATCATGGCGCGGCGCACGTCCTTGAGGTTCAGGTGCTTCCAGGTTTCGGTCTTCGCGAGTTGCTCGTGCGCGGCCTTGGCCGTAAGGCTCGGGTTCGCAGCGAGGAGCTCCTGGACCGCGTCGACGACGTCGCCGCCGCTGGCCATGGTCGGCGCCGGCGCCGGCGCCGGCGGCATGAGGCCCTCGGCGTCGCCCCAGCCGTCGCCGTCCGCGGCCGCGACCTCGGCGAGCGACGCCTTGACGCCGTCGAGGCCCTTCTTCGCGTCCTCGGCGGCCTGGGCGAGCGCCGTCTTCGTGTGGGTCGCCGCCTCCTCGAGCTTCGCCTTGGCCTTGGCCTTGAGCGATTCCATGTCCATCGCGGCGCGGCCTTGGGTGGTGCGGGTTTTGATCCCTCCTTGGGCGTCGCGGAGGACGGCGGACGAGGCCTTCCGGCTCGCGGAGGCGACGGTGAAGACGCGAGGCTTCGCGCGCGAGCTCGACGGCGCCCGCGGCGAGCTGCGGGCGAAGAACCCGACGCTGCTCGGCGCGGCGCGGGAGCTGATGCGAGCTCCTCGTCGGCTCCTCGATGCTCGACAAACCTTGAGGCAAGATTTTTCAGCGGCGGCAGCCCCTCGACGCGAAGTCGGCGGCCATGGTGGCCGTGCGCTGGCGCTTCGCCTTGCTGCTCACGGCGGTGTACTCGGACGAGGACCCGCACATCAGCCGCGAGTGCGACGCGGACCGCGTGAGCCACTACCACGCGACGTGCCGCCTCGACGCGTCCCACGCCTGGTTCGTGCGCCAGGAGAACGCCGCCGTCGTCGACGTGCACCACGGCGTCGCCTTCCACCCCATCCTCAAGGCGGCGTCGAGCGCCGTGCACAACGAGATGCGCTACCTCGACGGCCACAACTTCCGCATCGCCGCCGACGACACGAACATCCGGGAGGTGAAGGCGAGCTGCTGCGACGACGGCTCCTACGCGGGCGTGCTCAACTTCACGTTCGTCCGCGAGCCCGTGGAGCGCTTCCTGAGCGCCTACCACTTCCTCGCGGAGCACAGCCGCCTGGTCTGCGACAAGCTCACGGCCGAGGCGGTGCAGCACGGCTTCTGCCCGCTCCTCAAGGCCATCCCCAAGACCGGGTTCACGCCGCTCCTCGGCGAGGACATGGTGGAGCGGCCGCCCATGCAGGGCGACGACGACACGGCCTACGGGCTCTTCGAGTCGTTCCTGGAGATCTGCGAGCTCTGGGGCTGGATCGGCCCGAGCCGCTTCTTCAACGCGCACTTGCTCCCGCAGGCGCTCCAGCTCACGGAGGCCGACGGCGCGCCGCGGCGCTCGCTCCAGCACGTGCGCCTGCTGCCCGGCGCCGCCGCCGTCCAGAGCCCGGCGAAGCGCGCGCGCAACATGTCGGACCAGCTCCTCGAGCTCTACGGCGCCGCGTGCCCCGGCGGCGGCTGCGTCTTCCGCGAGCCCTCCGCGGACAAGCCCGACTGGGCGGGCATGCACCTGAGCCCGAACCGCTGGTTCTCCGTGACGGCGGAGAAGCTGCCGGACCGCCTCCTCGTGCGCGCCTGCAAGCTCGTGCTCGTCGACTACTGCTGCTTCGACGTCGTCCTGCCGGCGCCGTGCGCGGCCGCGGGGCTAACGTGCGCGGACGCGACCGACGCGGGCCTGCCGGACTGGCTCCCGGCGGAGCGGTCCCCGGACCCGCCCCTGGACCCGCGCCGCGCGCTGGACCCCGTGTCCTGCTGCGACCTGCGCATCCGCCCGCCGCTCCCGCCCCAGCCGGAGCTCCCGCCCGCGCCCGCGCCGGACGGCGCGGCGCCGCCGGGCTTCACGGCCGGCGGCCCCGCCCGCGCGCTCCACCGCGCCAACGACGACGACGGGCCCGACGTGCCCCCGCTCCACCCGGCCCTCGCGGAGCTCACGGACGCCGACGACGATAACCTCTAAGCTGAAGCGTGTGCAGTGCGTCGTGCCTGACCTGAGTAGACCACGCCCCTCCCCTGGCGGAGGGATCTCCTGTCCCTCGCCTGGGGGAAGTTATGACCTCAGGCCGGGGGTAAGGGAGCGGCATGGTCGACTCGTGCCAGGCGTTGTGCGACGCCGCACCTCTTGCCCGGGGCGTCGCTCGCGACGTTCGACCGCGCGCGTCTGGTCGCTGTGGACGCGAAGCCCGGGCGTCGCTCGCGGCCGCGCCGACCCCCGCGACTCCGGAAAAAGATCGGATCGGTTAGGGAAGAACGCGCGCCGGGCCGACCGCCCGGCGCGCGCCGCGGACGACGGGGAACAGCGCGGCGCCTAGTAGGTGTGGCCCGTGGTCTTCTTCTTCTCGCCGAGCTCGAAGTGCTTGCACCGCTTGATGGTGAGCTGCTTCTTCGCCTTGCACTCCTTGCACTCGAGGCGGAGCGTGACCTTCTTCGTCGTCTTCGCCTTCTTGTGGAAGACGGGCTTCGTCTGGCCGCCGAAGCCCATCTGCTTCATGTCGTATCGCCGCTTGCCCTGGGCGAAGTTGGACGCCTTGCCGGCCTTGTACTGCGTGACCTTGTGCGTCGTGTGCTTGCGGCACTTCTTGGCCTTGCAGTACGTCTTGCGCTCCTTCGGGACGTTCACCATCTTGAACAACCTGCGGGGCGGGGGGGTCGGCGCGCCGTTGCTCGTGCGGGGGTAGCTTCTCGTGGTGTCGTTCCCTCTCGTACGGGGGCTCCGCTCGTCTCTCGGTCTCTCTCTCCTCTCGGCGTCCGCCCGCCGAACCGCTCCGCCGCCGCCCGAACCGCGTCCGCCGCCGCCGCGAGCCGCCGGGGAGAGCTTTCGGGAGCCCGTGAGCGTCCCGCCGCCTTCGCGATGGAAGGGGCGAATCGCCGCGGGACTCCCGGGTCGAGGGGGCTTGGGGCCGCGCCGTCCGGCGGAGGCCGTCGCACGGACCGGCGTGGTCGGTCCGCGCGCCTCGGCCCGCCGGCGCGCCAAGCCAACGGCGGCCGCCGCGCCACGGCCCGCGCGACGCTGCGAATCCCGCGGCGACGCGCCCGGCGGCGCGAAGGCCGCCGGCCGGGCGCAGCGGGGACGCCGCGTGCAGCAGCGCCTCGGCGTCGGCGACGGCGGCCAGAGCCTCCCCGCGCGACTCCCCGCGCAGCTCCGCGAGCGACGGCAAGACAGCAGTTCAGACGGCGAAACTCGGCGGCTAGGGCGACGCGAAGGCGGCAATTTCATGCAGACGCAGCAGCATACTCGGCCGGCGAGCAAAGAGCGATCACTCGAGGAGCGAGGCCGCGCCGGGGGTCGAAAAGCTCTCGCAACGACGCCGCGCGCGCGCGGCGACGCGCTGCGCAAGGGCCCACAGATAGACTACCCGCCCTAGCCGGGCTTGGAGCAGAGGGCGCGCCGCCGGCGACGGCCTCCCGGCAGTCCGTCCCCGTGTCTGCTCGTCGAGGACCGCGCAGCGTGACGAGGAAGTCGTCGTCTCCGCGTCGCTCAGCGCGCCCGCGCGCGCGAGGTCGACGCTGGAGTGGCAGATCAGGTCCCCCGTGGAGAGGGACCGGGGCAGCGCCGTGGGCGCCGGCGACCCCACGGCCGCCGAGTCCTCGCCGTCCTCCGTCCCGCTGGAACTGCCAGTCCTATTGCGGCGTCGTCACCCCGGGGAAGTCGGAGATTGCCGCACTGCGGCGCGATCTGCTCCTTCCAGCACACGAGGGAGTCCGACCCCAAGCCCCCGGGCGCCCACGGTCCGGGCAGCGACGGCGGCGCCAGAGGCTACACGGACATCGGCCAGCGCGTCCGCGGCCCCGGGCCACTACAAGCGCCTCGCGTCGCGTCGATCGACCCAGGGCTCCTAGAGCAACACCACCTAGCCGAGTCTTATTCGACGGCCTTCCGACGACACCATCTAGCCGAGTCTAATTCGACGGCCTTCCGCTGACTGGCGACGCCTCCGATGGCGAGGAAGAAGCCGCGAAGCCGCTTCGGCGACTGCTCAGTGCTCGACCGGTTTCACCACAGCGCACATCATCACTCCCCACTCCTTGGGGCGCGCCGGGGCTTTGCGCGCGCGATTGCGCCGTTTCGGGGGTTGCTCCGCGTCGCCCGCCCCCCTCGGAGTGCATCGCCTGAAGAACGGAGTGCATCGCCTGAAGAAGGGACAGCGAAGGCGCCGAGAACGCCAAAGGCGCGAAGCCGCGCAAACGCCCCCCCGGGCGCGCGTCGCTCGGCCGTTCGGCGACGACGTCGACCGCCTCGGCACGCTTCGCCGACATCGCGCGATTCGGGTCCCGGCCGCCCCGCCCTTCTCGCGTCCGCGGTCGCGGGGAGACGCGGACGATGGCGCTCCGGCGCCTCGCGCGGCTGCTCGCGGTCGCCCGGGCCCTGGACGACGCCGGCAACAGGGGCGCGACCGCACGGTGGGACAACAACAGGGCGGGCGTCCACTGCCACCTGCGCCGCGGGCAACCGGGGCCGGGCAACCGGGGCAACAACCGCGTGCGGGGCGCGACCGCGGCCGTCGTCCACAAGATGCCCAAGGCCGGCGGCGCGTCGTTCGTGACGTCGCTCGTCGCGTTGAACTGCGACGCCCCCGAGCCCGCGCGCATCGAATGGTCCGAGCAGTGGTCCTGCTCGGCCGCGCCGCGGTTCCTCCTCCTGCGCGAGCCCACGGCGCACGTCATCAGCATGCGCGGCGCCGCGCGGAACTCGAATCTTCGACCCGACTTCAATCGAACGGTGTGGACCAGACGCTTCAGCTGCGCTTCGAGCACTCGACGAGAGTAATCGATCCGTCCAAAAATCGGCCAAATCGACGTCGATGTGGCCGAGCTCGAGCATTTCAAAACGCAGGTACAACCACTGCCAGCGCGGCCACGGCTTCGTCGCGCACCGCTACGACCGCGTGAGCCTCGCGGCCTGGCTCCGGGGCTGGGCGACCGCCGACGGCGACGCGGTCGCTCGCTGGCTCGTGCCCGACGCCCGGCGCCAGTGCAACTTCTGGCCGCGGAACTTCCAGGCGTCCGCGATCCTCCGCGGCGCCACCTGCGGCCGGCGGCGCCTCGGGACCTACAAGGAGCGCCCCCACGCCTGGGGGGCGGGCGGCCGCGACCTCGCCGACTGGGCGGCGCGCGGCGGCGCGCGCGTGGCCGCTTCGTACGGCGCGGCCGCGATCCGGCGCGCCGCGTCCGTCGGCGTGACGCGCTACATGGACGCGAGCGTCTGCGTCGCGTTCTTCGCGCTCCACGGCGCGCTCCCGGCCGGCGGCGCCTGCGATTTCTGCGCGACGCGCGCGCGCCTGCCCGCGCAGACCCACGACGTCAACCACTGTGTGGAAATCAACCAGTGAGCTGGGACGTCGGGGCCAAACTTCAGAACTCTCTATCTCGGTCAAATCGACGTCGATTCGGCTGATTTTTGGACGGATCGATTGCTCTCGTCGAGTTCTCGAAGCACGGCGAAAGAGTCTGGTCCAAATCGTTCGATTACGCGCACATTGAAGTCGGGTTGAAGGTTTGGAATCCACACAGGTCAACCACACGGAGGTCGACGCGGAGCGGCTCGACGCGGCGACGCTCGCGCTCGCGCGCGACCTCACGCGCGTCGACGAGCTCCTCTTCGCGGAGGCCCTCTCGTCCTTCGTGGCCCGCGCGCGCCGCGTCGAGAACGCGACGGGCGTCGCGCTCCTCTGCGACCTCGACGTCGACGACCCGCCGGCGAGCGGCTCGTCGCGCATGCCGGCGGGATACGCGAGTTAAAGCCGCTTCGACTCACCTCTAGTCGAGCGCCCCAACTGGAACTGTTTCGAACGACGCGAAACCACCTCGACGAGTCGAGATCGACGTCGACTGGCGACGCCTCCCAAGAGGCGTCCCAAGTAGGGGCGGACAGTGAAGCCCGGGCGCTTCGGGGCCGCTTCGGCTGGGTCCGGTTCCCTGGATGGGTCGGGAGCAGTGCACCGAGATGCTGGTTTCGTGCAAGGACCTAATTTGGGTATGTTGCGTGAGGCCCGGCCTCACGCATCTCCGCCGAGTTTCGTGGCTGCACGAAATCAGGAACCCCCCGCACCGCGAATGCATGGTGCCGACAGCACTGGTGGCGGCCCTCGACAAAGCGCTTCGGGACGTCGCGGGCCGACGCCAGGCGCCTCCCGGCGGCGCGGAATCACGTCGCCGCGCGTTCGGAACCGTTCCTGCGTGCCCTGCGGCGCTGCTCTGAGCCGCAGAGCCTTCGGCGCTGCTCGTGCGCGCCTGGAGCGCCCGCTCTGGTGAGGCTTCGGTGAGGCACCGGAACTAGATCGCTTCGCTGGGCGCTGCTGGGCGTCGCGCCGACGTGTCGAGTGTTCAGTGCACTCCCAGGTCGACCTACGAGGCGCGGGAACACGCGCTGCGCCTACCGCTCGTGGCGTCTGCGCTGGCACAGGCGCGAGACGGGATTGGCGTTTCTCGCCTGGAAACGAGGCGATGGGCCACAACGCGTCCTCGCGGGCTACAGGCGTCGGACGGCTGCGCGATGGGTTCCGACGACATGTATATCGACTCGAGTGCGCCCACGCCAGCCCAAAGTCGCCGGAGCGCCTCGTACACGCGACCGCGTTTTGCCCGCGCGGGAGGAAAATCGAGACTTTGCGAGGTCGTAGCTCCGCGAGATCGACGTCGATTTACGCGAACCCAGGCTCTCTAAGTATCAGTTAGAAGTCGGCTATCCATCGCAAGTGACCGCAAGGTCGAACTCGACGGTCCACCGCCGGTCGACTTTCACTGTCCGCCCCTATCCCAAGCGAAGTGGGGGCGAGGAAGGAGCCGCGAACCGCATCAATGCGTGATTTTCTCGGCGACTGCTCTGACAACGCTCAAAAGCAATGACGCTCAAGTACATCGCCACCCTCGTCCTCGCGCGTTCTGCTCGCGCCCTCGTCTGTTCGACGTACAAGACGCCGGAAACGTGCTCGGGGTGCGTCTCCAGCGGCGAATGCGTGTGGCGGGAGATGAACACGGGCGAGATCATGGACGAGTCGGAGTACCGCCGCAAGCTCGAGGGCGAGGGCTCCTGCGTCGCCGACGCCGACTCGCCGAACTGCGGCCCGATCGGCATCACGGCGGTCGACGGGGTCGACGACGTCGCGGGCGCGTGCTCGGAGGACGGCGGCTACCCGTATTTTTGCACCGAGGACGAGGCGAACGCCGCGAGCCCGGACGGGACGTCCCACGAGCACCGCGGCTACTGGATGCCCCTGGGCGTGACCATGTACCACGGCGACTTTGACGGAGTCGCGCCCGCGTGCGAGTGCGAGGGCGCGCACCACGGCGACGACGAGTCCGAGGAGGCCCACGACGACCACGACGGCCACGACCACGGCGAGGAGGCGGAGTCCGACGCCGCCGCCGCGGCGCGCCTCCTCGGCGCCGCCGCGCTCGCCGCGGCCGGGGTCGTCGCGCTCGCGTGAGCGGCCGCGCGGAACTCCGCGCCGCGAACGAGCGCGAGCCTTCGCCGCGCGCCCCGGGCCTCGCCCGCGAGGACCTCCCGACCCTCCGATTCCCGCCACGCCACCAAGAAGCGAACTAAGTCGAAAAAACAGAGAACGCTCGCTTGCAATGGAAACAAAGTGGCATGGAAAAATTTACGCGGCGCGCGCGCACTTGTTCCCGCCCGGCTTGCAGAGGTCGCAGAAGAGCGACGCCTTCGGCGGCGGCCCGCCCGCCTGGCGCTGGCAGGGGCGGCAGAGGAGCACCTCGATGGCGCAGCTCCGGTTCGCGCACTTGGCCTGGGCCTGGTACCGGTCCCAGGGGTCGCCGCAGTGGACGCACGCGGAGATGACGCGCGCGTTGTCCGCGCCGTGGCTGAAGCGCTTGTCGAAGGTGTAGTTCTTGCCCACCCAGTGGCCGCCGTCGCTCTGGAACTCCTCGAGGTAGCGGTGGATGCCGCCCTCGAGCTGGAAGACGTTCTTGATGCCCTGGCTGCCCATGTAGGCGCTCGCGCGCTCGCAGCGGACGCCGCCCGTGCAGTACATGAGCACCTTCTTGTCCTCGAGCTTGTGGCGGTTGTCCGCGACCCACTTCGGGAACTCCGTGGACCGGCGCATCATGGGGTCCAGCACCTTGTCGCCCGGCGGCGCGAACTTGCCGATGAGGCTCTCGTTGTAGTTGCGGACGTCGACGACGACCGCGTCCGGGTCCTCGAGCGCCCTGTGGAAGTCCGCGGGCGCGAGGTGCGTGCCGCCCTTGTCGAGGGGCGCGTCCCGCGCGTCGAAGCCGTAGGTGACGATCTCGGCCACGGGCCAGCACTTGACGCCCTTGAGCATCTGGTTCCGCGGCAGGCCGTCGACGTACTTGAAGTCGACGCGGCCGTTCCCGAAGGTCGCGGCGTCGAAGGTCTCCAGCGACGCGGTGAAGGCGCGCACGCCCGCCGTCGGGCCCGTCAACGTGCCGTTGTAGCCCTCGCGCGCGACGCGCAGGCGGCCCGTGACGCCGTGCGTCTTCAGCGACTCGACGCAGAACTTGATGGCCGCCGTCTGCCGCTGCTTGCTCATGAGGCCCTCGCAGTACGCGTAGAAGAGCACGATCGTCACGGGGCCGGGCTCCTCCGGCGCCGCGGACGACGACGACGACGACCGCGCGGCGGCCGGCGGCGCGGCCGCGGCCGGGTCGCCGGGCGCCGCCTTCGCCTTCTTCGCCGCCGGCGCGGCGGCCTCGGTCTCGGCGCTGCGCTTCTTCTCCTTGTTCGGCGAGGCGGCGGCGGCGGCGCGCTGCTCCGCCTTGGCGGCCTTCTTCGCCTTTTTCTTGGCCTTGTAGGTCGCGACCTCTTCTTTCGTCGGCTCGCGGCCCAGCTTCTTCTCGAGCTTCGCGCGCGCCTTCGGCATCGTTTTCGCGGCGTTTGGAGGCGCGACGACTCCGGCGCGCGACTCAGGCCGAAGGACTCGGCCCACTGCGTCGTCGCCAGAGATCGATTTGCGAGATGTGCACACCTTGAAGGCAAGATGCACCTCAGTTGTTGCTTGGAACAGGAACAGGTGGCTACTTAGGGGACGGGGGTCGCTTCGTGGGAGGATCACCAGTAGCCGCCGCCACCGCCGACGAGGGGCGGGTAGGACGGCTCGCGGCCGAACGCGGCGCCCGGGCCGGCCGGGCGCCAGATGGGCGGCGCCGCGCGGCGCGGGCGGCGCGCCGCGACCCCGCCGGGCACGCGCACGACGACGGCGTCGGCGTCGCCCGCGTCGACGAGCGCCGCGCGGGAAAGGTCCGCGCCGCGCGGCAGGTCCACGATTTCGTCGACCCGGCCGTAGCGGCCGCCGGCGACGCGGCGGAGCAGGTCCGCGCGGTAGGCCGCGTCGCGGCGGTAGCGCCGCGGGCAATGCTCGTCGACGGCGCGGAGGAGCGCGGCCGCGGCCGCGGGGCCCGGCGCGAGGACGCCGCCGACGCGGAGCCGGCCGCCCTCGACGGCGAACTCGAGCGCGTCGACGCCGTCGCCGCGGAGCTCGACGTCGTAGGAGCCGCGGGGGCCGTGGCGCAGCGAGGCGCGGAGCTTCGCGGGCGTGCCGCGCCAGAACTCGGGCTCCGCCACGAGGCCGAGCGCCTCGTCGCGGCGCTCTTCGGCGCGTTCGTCGGCCAGGCGCCGCTCCTCGGCGCATTCGTCGGCGCGGCGCCGCTCCTCGGCGCGCTCGTCGGCGCGGCGCCGCTCCTCGGCGTCGGCCCGGCGCCGCTCCGCCGCGAGGCGCTCCTCGGCCTCCGCGAGGCGGCGCCGCTCCTCGACGAGGCGCCGCTGCTCCTCGACGAGGCGGCGCCGCTCGTCGACGGCGCGCCGCGACGCCTCGGCCGCCTCGCCCTCGAGGCTCTTCGTGGCGAGGCTCCGCAGCAGCGGCGCCTCATCATCTTCCGCTGTTGGCTGCGTCTCGGCCCAGCGCTTGAGGCCGACGAGCGTCGCCGCGTAGCCGGCCTCCTCCGCCCGCTGCGCCATGCGCTCGACGACCTCGAGGTCCGTGGCCGGGCAGAGGACGAAGGCGTTGCGCCATTGCTCGGAGACGGTCATGGTTGTTGTGTGTGCGGAACGCTGTCGCTTTGCGAAATTGTCTCGCGTGCGACGCAGTTGCTTTGCAATGTTCGGCTGCTCATGCACCGGGAATCGATGCTCGTTCTTGAGGCCTTCTTGCACTCCCTTGCGAGTTCCATGGAACATCAAAGGCTAACCAAACCTCGCCCACTCCCCTGGGGGGCGGAGG